AATAAATAAATAAATAAATAAATAAAAAATAAATTTGCTGGGCCTAATTATTGCCATTTCGCGGAGTAGCACGCGGATTGGTTTTAAGAATTTGCGTCCTTGTTAATTTCGTCTTAGAAATTTTAGTTTTTATGAATATCGATTTTTCCTTGATTTGTCTTCTAAATAGGGAGCCATCATCATGATTCTAAATTACCATCATAAAATAGAAAAAGGGGAGGTTAGAGAAGATACGTGTGCAATTTTTCTTGTATACCTGTTTTTATTGTAGTGAATTACTAGAGCAGCGGAAAAAGACGTAGTATTATATTGAGGCTAACCTCTATGAATCTTGTATTTTTATTTGATTCTGCTAATTAATTTCAATCGGTGGAACAAAATTAGGGCTTGTATTTTTCAGCACGTGGTATTGTATTGTATGTAGACCCCTTCACAGGATTTCCTTATTTCTGTATGTCCTTTATCTTTTTTTACTTGGTGGGGAGAGAGGGCGAAGGGAAGGGGGTGGTAGTTGTTTTTATGGTTTAGCAGTTTTATTACATATGAGGTTTACCTTTCATTCCACCTTCACCGAAGACCGTATGCATAGGGAAAAGTTCTGTTAGCAAAATAGAATCACAGTTCTTCTGCTTTCACCTAGGATTTCCAATACCGTTCCTTCTTCTTTATTACTAAAATATTTTGGCACTTTATTAATTAATATTGTGGTAATTTAATAAAACACATAAGAGTCATGAAAAATGCTAGTGTGCATTGGTTTTGTCATCATGTGGCGGTATCCATTCTTGTTAAGTGATCATTGCTCTTGTATTTCTGTTCATGCTTGTCTTATTTGTTAATTACTTTCCGCAGGTGAAGAAGCATATCAAGCAAGGGCAAGGTCATGAAGGTGGGATTTTTACAGTGGAAGCCCCACTGCATGTCTCAAATGTTCAGGTTTTAGATCCAGTCACAGGGTAAGATGTTGGTGTCTAATTGTTCTGATGTACTTGTGTTTTGTCTCTGTCAAATAGTGGCTCATATATGGTTTTGCAGGAAGCCCTGCAAGGTTGGATACAGATACTTAGAAGATGGTACCAAAGTTAGAGTTTCTAGAGGTATCGGTGCCTCAGGCTCTATCATTCCTCGTCCAGAGATCTTGAAGATTAGGACCACACCAAGGCCAACAGTTGGTAACGTTCAAATATTCCACGTTCCCTTGAGTGTGTGTGCACATGCTTATGTATTATGCTTATATCTATCTAAAGCATGATGTCTGTAGTTGCATAATGCAGATGGATCATTTTTTCTTAAGAATAAAACAGCACGTTTGATTGTTAGAAGATCAGCTCCAGTTTTCCAAGTGTGAGGTTTAGATATGACTTGCATGTTTGGTCGCTATATCAAATATTGGGATGCTACTTAATTTAGTTAATATTTAATACATCAAAGATTATAGTTGTTTGGTGTGAGCAAATTTTATTATAAGATTAAGTTCATTTGAGGTGAACTTGCATAATATTTTGGCAACCATTGTAAAACGTGACTGTTTTAACCGAACGAACAGCCTCAATACACAATGGTAAGTTTAACAGGATTGCGTACCCTTCTCATGATTTGCTTCTCATACAGAGAATCTAAATGTGGAATCTTAAGATCCATATTCTTGTTCTCTCTATATCTAGGGTGATCCTCTGCTGGAGAGGGGGGCGGGGACTGGATTTAAAATAAAGCCATAATTACGAGGGTTTAAATCCATGACTTATAGTTCATTACCTCTTTTGCCTAAATACAGTTGCTAACTGCTGATCCAGAAAATAACTTTTGGCATTGAAATTTATTTTCTTTGCTTGGACATTAGAAAGTTAATTTTGTTTACATTTCGGCTTGAAGACAGTTGAGTTCAAAATGCAAAGTCGATTTTATTTGAAGTTACTGAATTGTCTAAATTAATTCGATTTATTTGTGCAGTTGGTCCCAAGGACACTCCATTGGATTTGGTCTCGGAAAAGACATACGACGCTAAAACTGGAATGGGAATGCCAGATCTTTAGGAGTCCTTTTTTTTTTTTTTTTGTGGGGGGGGAGTTGCAAAGTCCTTGCACATGTTGAAAGACGAAGGAAAATGTAAACTGAGGGATCTGCTGTTTACAAGTTACTGCCCGCCTGATCATTTTATCACTCGCGATTGTCACTTTTATGATTGAAATGGATTATTTTTGTTGCTACATTCGTGTGTTGCGTTGTAGAAGTTTATGAAGTCCTCCTATTAGAAATTTATTAGGCATGCTAACAAGTTTTTTAATCATATTTTCATGGGAACAAATTGCATCTAGGCTTTAGCTGATGTATGTTGTGTGGAAATTGATTTTCATCTACCTGAATAAAAAGGAAAAAAATTTCGATGAGGATGTGATTTGTGATGGGAGTCTGGATTCGACTACGACTTAGCTGGTTTTTTTATCAGCATGCAATATTGGATAAAATTGTAGGGTAACAAGGGCAAGATCTTAATTCTTCTTCTTTTTTAATACTGTAGATATATATAGGCTGTCGAACAAGTATAAATAAGTTGAATTGTGAGAATTAATGGAAAGGTTCTAGAAATTAGATATTCCACTGTAAGTTTGAATAAGAAAATAAGGGGAGGGTGCAGAAATCCAGTTTTGCTTGAGGTTACTGTGTCAAGAGTTCGAATCCTGAAATATGAATTTGGTTCTTGTGTAAATGCAAGTGTACAAGCAGCCTTCCACCCTGTACCCTTGGAGGCATAACCTGCGATTTACCTCCCTTACGATGCTCCAAGACAGGGGCCGTGGGGGACCCTAAAAGTTGGGGTTCAACCTTTTGCCCCCTAGGGCACACCTCAACTGGCAAAGATGAGGGCGTTTCAAAACTGGCAGATCAGAGGTCGTGAGTTCGATTCCTGGAAGGTTCTTAGAAGGCAGATATTCTCCTGGAAGTCAGAATTTATTCTGGAAGGCAGGAGCTCTACTGGAAGGCAAGGTGCAAAGATGGGAAAACGACTTGCTTGGCAATTAGATAGATCAGTTGGGGGGTTCTTGAGCACTGGTCAGTTTAGGGCATAACCTGCGGTTTAACCTGTCTGCAGCTTGAGGGGTCAAGGTGTAGATTCCAGGATTTAGTCACTGTAAAGTGGATATTTGGATATCAAAAAATAAAAAATAATGGGACGGTTGGTTTCCATTTTCATTTTCAAAACAATTTTTAGTTTTTCCTGAAAATAGTCTGTTTTCCGCGTTTTAAGCGTTTTCGACATTTATAACTGCTAATGCTGAAAACGTTAAAAAGTCGTTTTGCGTTTTCAGTTATAAATTTTAACTGCGTTTTCGAAAATGACGGACCAAACGCATTTTCTGTATTTTCGAAAACGAAAAATAGAAAATGGGCCGAAAACGGCAAACCAACCACGGCCTAAGTTTCTAGTCAGCATGGAGAGGTGAGCATCTTCCTTCATTTATTTCTTCGTATATACTACATTGTTTCTTGCTATTTCTTTGATGCCTATCGGTTCCTCTTTTTCATAGTTTCATCTTCTACATGGGCTTGTTTATTTTTGTTCTAAAACTACTTTAGTCACCTCATTTTAAAGTTTGAGGTGTAAGAAACGGAACTCATTTATGTAGTTAAATATCATCTTCCATACGCAAATAGGGTCGGGAGTGGGAAACGTGGGTCAAGGTTTCAGCAACAGGAGCTATCATAGTCCATGTTTGGCTAATATTTATAAACTGTTTATAATCAGTCAAATACAATAAAAGCAAGTATCTTGATACTGCTCACGATACCTCCATCACACATTCTGAATCCCTACCATGCTCTCATGATCACACACACATAAACACTAAATAAAAGCAACACACCAAACACCAACTCTTGGAGCCTACTGTAAAAAGCCAGGACAGTCCCTTGCCCAGTGCCCAAACAGATGGCACTTGAAGCATTTGAGGGTCTCGCCACTGCCAGTTACCCAAGGCGATGTCCCGTAGCCAAAACTACCTCGATAAAGACCATTCACAATGCTCGGACTTGGACAATTCTCAGGGCCATGACCTGCACCACCACAGAGTTTACAACTCATATACGTGCTAGTCGAGCCAGTCATAGGAAGTCTAGAACCAATGTACTGATCACAATATGAACCTGGCTGACTCGGTACACCTGATTCTCTATCCATATTGGCAGTATTTCGACTATGGTTCATAATAGGAGCTGCATATTCTCTACTCTCCAGATGTAGGGAACCTGTGACCTCCATCTTGAACTTAGCTATTGAGTCAAGATTTACCTTCTCTGCTTTCTCTAGTGCGTACTTTATGCGCTTTTCGTTGTTAAATGTCTCTTCTTTTACTTTCAACGTAAATAGATATTTTGCATAAAGAACATTACGCATTACTTCTGAAAAAGTTTCGTCATCTTGTTCTTCATACTTGAGGCAGTACAAATCTTGTGCTGATCTACCCAAAAATTCCTCCCCACTTTCCTGAAATGCAGTAATCCACATGAAGCCAGTTTGATCCTGGATTTTCATCCGGAGGATATACCTATAATCACATTCATCAACCAACTGATTGCACCTATCACATCGCCATTTCCCGTCCCCATAATCTGTAACCTTCTTGATGCAGATGGGACATGCAGTGTAAAAAAAGTTGTCCACTTCCACGAGTGCAAGAGTCGCGCACACTGTAACCCAATCTGGCTTCTCAGATGTACCTAATCTTTCATCTTTTATCTGCGATATAGTTTTTCGCACATCTGACTGGACCATATTTGTATATCTGGAGATTGATATAGAATTGACGTTCTTTCCTTCATTGTCAAACCATGCTTTGAGGTTGTGTGCCTCGGGCAAATCTGGCTCTATAAAAAGCTGGCTAGTAGGTATGGTCCATACTACTTTCCCGTAGAAATCTCTCACTCTACAAGATTTGACTGCCAAAACTGGAAACTCCCTAGAATCACAAAATGTTTGAAGTATTTGGCCTTCTATATTGCAGAAATTGTTCCACAAAGTTAGTTCAACGCTCCTGCCAGACATATCGTTCAACTGAAGTGTTCTTAGAGGAGTTTCGATACCTCTTTTTGTCTTTACTGAGCTCGATGGGCTGACAGATGAAACCACACCAATCACATCCACAATACTACTGTTCTCCGTGCCTTCAAGTTCACTTAAGGCGCAAAAATGAAATTGCTGATTTTGAGCAATAGGCCGTCTCTCAGCAACCATTCCACTAGATCGTACATGAACTCCACTAGCTACATTTGGCCATGAAGCGTCCATCACTGAACCAGCTGCACCCAAATGAGGATTAATAATTTCCGTCTGAACTGGCACAAATGTTCTTGTCATTGAATAGTTATTTCCCTCAGTCTTGAATAACGTCGGTTCACCGATGCATTCACATTTTTCAAGTAACACGTCCAGGTCAAAAATGAGTATAATCCTGCTTAAATTAAGCCAAAGTGTAAAAGTAAATTTACAACCATGAGGAAGTGCAGGAAAACGGCTAAATCTAAAACGCGAGAGAGAGAGAAACGTCATATCCTCCATGAAGTTTCGTACAACCATTAGATACAAGAATTGAAAAAGAAAATTATAGAAAGGGATCAAATAACAACAATTAAATTTGTTTGGTCACAATAGATTAGAATTCAAAATCATTTCATCTGGAGAGGAAGTAACTTATGATGCATGTTCATGCTGCTATTCCTAATAAATTTGTTAAAATTAGATTATTGAAGGCCACATTATTTGGTTCACTTATGCATTTTCGAATATTTTTTAAATAGTTTACCGTTCAAATAATGTAAGTTACTCAATTGTTAGGAAACTGGTACACTCAAAACCTACAAATGACTGGTAACTTTTAGCTGCAATCACTCCATTTTACTTTCTAGAAAAATGACTCGATTTTGGGAACTCACAAGCAGTTCTTAATGAAGTCAAGCACAAACTTGTTCAGCTGCACAATGGAACCCTTCTGGATCTTTTCGGATCGAACCAGATCGTTGAGCTGCTGATCCAGCATGCCTTGCTGATAAAACATCCCGTCCGACAACCATATTCGGTACCGCTCAATATTACTGTTCTGGTTCCGTGTTTTTAAAAGCGTTATCTCTGCCACTTGTAGTACCGGTTTTACACCAGTCTTCGGCGCATCATCGGTAAATAGCATCGGTATTGCACCTTCCGTCAAATTGTTCTGAGGCATTTTTTGAAATATGGTTTAGAATTTCCGGATTTCTTCTTCTTGTTCTACAGTCAAATTTTGAGAGAAAAAAGGGGACAATGTTGTGTAAAACTAAGAAATTGAAATCCAAATGCTAGGAAATTGAGGAGGAAAAGTGATTCTGTAATGTGTGTTCACTTTACTGAAAGAGCGGGAAAAGAAAGTTACCGTTCATTTTTACCCAGTGAACCGCGGTTCAATTTTTTTTTTCATTTAATTAAAGAAATTTTGATCTAATTATATCTCACTAAATTATGTAAATCATAATTTAATTTCTCTATGTTACAAGTAACATTATTTTTATGATTAGTTAATGAATCTTTTATTTATTATTTACTTATATTAATTTTTAAATTTTAACATGCATTTTTTAAAAGAATTAAATAAAATAAAAAAATAATTAATATGGATTTGTGGAACATTTTCACTTCCTTAGTTGGATGGTTAATGGTTATGCTTCCTGGAGAAGCTAAATGTAGGTTTGTATATGCATGTGGGCCACATTGTTGGACTTTAGACTTTAAAAATAATTTTTTTTTTCAAAAAGTAAAAGTAACTAGACGACTTTATAAATAAGCTAAAGTAACAATAATGTGGAATTTGAGCGTATGGGATAAATTGATCTTTATATATTTTTGCAATTTTCTTAATCTTATATATATATATTATTATTATTATTATTTTTTTTTGAGTTTCTGTAATCCGACTCACATTTTCTATCGAAGAAGTACGTTAAATTTCACCGATGATAGAGCTAGAACTTTTTCTTAAGGAAGATCACTTCTTCATCAAATTTAAAGATTTTAAAACATACTAATGACACTAATATATTTTCTTGAAAAATTTAAAAAATACACCATATATATAGTGTGTAATCACATTTCACATATCGTATAAATAAATTTACACTTCTTTTCCTTGTCACATTTAAGTCATTGACTTTTTTTTATTGTATTCTTATCTTTTTTTCATTATTTGTACATCTTTTACCTAGTGACGACTTCCGTTTGACAATCTATTAGTGAGCTTTAAAATTTAGTATTGGGCGAGAAAAGATGAAAAGAATGAGATTTGAGGTCCCGTTTGTTTTCCATTCTTTAGCCAAAAAAATAAAAAATATAACCGTTATTCATCACATCAAATCATCATATTTGACTTCCTCTCTCTTGTGTGAGTCTCATAACGATTATATTTTTCATTATCATTCTTATAAGAATGGAAATCAAACGGGGTTTGAACAAAAATGATGGAAGTTGATCAAAATCTAGAATTCAAGGATCAAGGTATTAAGTTTGGAGGTTGAAAGACCTCAATTGCAAATACTTGAGAACTTGAGCTGAACAAGAAACGGAACAAGGACCAAATTGCACAGTTTGAAAAGATTTTGCCCTTGCAACAAAGTGATCGTAACGGGCTGTTTGGTTAAGGCATTGAGCATTTCTGTTAACCATATGATCGCACTCAAATCAAATTTGTGATCGCGCAGCTGTTCATGCAGCAAGAATCCAGGTTTCCTAATCCTATTCAATTACTGATTCTTTACAAAATTCTTTTATTCTAATTACGGGGAGATGAATTGAAGACAGACTCTTAAGGCAAAACAGATAATTACATACGCAAGGCTAAATTTATCAATTGATCGTGAGATATACAGTTATCAAGAAAGATGTGAAGGATACATTCTTGAAATTTGTGTGGCAAAGAGCAAGAATAGCTTGAATTCTTTTCTTAAATTGGTTGATATTTTTAATTCTTATATTGTTTAATTCCGCGATAATGAGCAGCTAAATAATTTGTTGTTAGGATGAACGAGGTAATTTAGGTTTAATGTTTATTTAATTTAGAAGATTTCAAGTAACTTTGATTATGTGTTAATTACTTATTGGAATTTGATGATATTCGATTGGTTGATCACAAGTTGCTTGGTTTAATATGGAGAATAGAAAAAGAAAAAACTAAATGAAGTTTCTCTTCCCTCTTTTTTTCATTTTCCCCACATATTTGATTAGGCTATAAATTTATCCAGTGTAATTAATGAAGCGACTACATATAGGTAAGTAAGCAGTGTAATCATGTATAGAAAAACATTATAATCCATATGTTAGATCTTATGTTTTTTGTAGAAGAGCTTTTTGATATATATATATATATATATATATATATATATCATCATTGTCCGAATTTGATAAAAAAGACAAATGAAAAGTACTAATTGAGTTAATTTCATAACATTCCATCTATGCACGGCCTCTCTTTTTTTGGTATAATTCTATTTTATTTTTATTTTGTTTCAATTTCTCAAACTTCTCGAGAAAATCATTAAATAATTGAACCTGAATTGACGTATTAGTGTGTGTTTGTCGTCCAACACTCTTTAAACAAGTGTTATTTTTTGGGAGGAAAAGAATAATCATAAAACGAACTGTTTGAAAAGAAAAGAAAAACAAGTGCAATTATTTTGGAGTATTATTAATAAATGTCGTTTCATTAAAATCTTGCGAGAAAAGTCCAGTGGGATAAAACCTAAGCGAAGAAAAAAAGAGTACAACTACTCCCCCCTAATGTTGATCACTGAAAATATTTGAATCGATGCATTCCAATTTCTTGAATGTAAATGTGGATAGTGCTTTGTGAATAAATCGATCGCATTGTCACTTGAGAGAATTTTTTAACTATCGATGCCACCATTCTTCTGTAGCTCATGTGTATGAAAGAATTTTAGAAAAATATACTTCGTCATGTCACTTTTAATATAGCATCTATTAAGTTGTGAAATACAAATTGCATTGTCTTCATACAAAACTGTTGGACTATCATTTATTGAAATTAACCTGCATAATGCTTGGATATAATGGGTCATTGTCCTCAACCACACACATTATCGGCCTGCTTCATGAATTGCAATAAAAGTGTGTTTGATTGACATGTAAATATCACATAGAAAATAAAATATTTTCTTGTTTTGAGGAAGTCAAAAACCTACTACTTCCAAAGAAAATATCTTCCTTAAAAAAAAAAAAAAAAAATTAAGCTTATTTTCAAAAGTTGAAAAATATTTTCAATGACAGAAATATCAATCAAACACTCCAAGTTGTAATTTGCGAATAAAATCGATATTTTTCATGGAAAATAAATGCAATTAAACGAACCCTAATTTTATAATGATTTGAGAATGTTGATGTCAAAGATTGCTTCAAGATCTCCATTATATAACTATTCCTCCACTTGTAAACATATATCATGTTTGTGATTTAGTTTTATGTGGATCAGAAAGATAACCCGTGTCTGCATATATCACTAAAGCAGATCCTGACTTTTGAAAATATGATAATCCCAAATTAGCAGTACCTTTAGGTAACGAAAATATGTTTTAACACAATTCCAATGCTTCGGAGTTGGGGTAGATAGATCTTGCAATGAGATTCACAGAAAAAGTTATGTCGGATCGAGTGTAATTTACAAGATAAGTTAATATTTCAATTGTATTATGATTTGGTACTTCAGGATCAATAACATTTTCTCCATCTTCAAGTGAACAAAATGAATCATTTTTCATGTCAAATGATCGAACAATCATAGGTGATGCCAATGGATGTGCATTATTTATTAAAAAATGTTTTAAAACTTTTTCTATTTATGTAGATTTATGAACAAATAATTCTTTTTGAGAAGTGTTCACTCTACAAATGAAAGGACAGAGATCTTTGGTGTCCCCTCTAATCAAAAATTAGGGTCTAACAATCACTAGCCAATAGACTTTTTTCTCTTGTGCCTTGTTCATTCGTGGTTCGATATTCTGGTGTCTTCGGTGTAGAGGAACCATACGAATTCACCCCAAACATGGTAGTTAAACTCTACTATGGTAATTATATTGTATGAGAGGTCCTGCAGATTTCAACATTCTTTATTTTCCATCTCAATGTATTGTGAAAGTTCAATTTCACTATCAAAATAGTTAAACTGAAAAATTAGGTTTTGGCCATAAACCAATTATAATAGGAAAACTATGATGTTAGCATAATGCGTAATAGAATTTCCTAAACAAAAATGGAAAGAAGAAGAGCAGTAGCAGCATTTTGATGCATATGTATGTAGAAAAATTCACATGTCACCAAATTAATTTTGATACACATGATAAATATTTGTACTTATAAAAAATTACTATATTCACTGAACTTTGAAAGATTAAATTATCCTGTTAATAACTTATTATGAAAAGAGAGAGAAAGAGAAGAGAAAATAAAAATTAATAGACTTGTATATTTTATTAAGAATTAAAGATCTATATTTATAGAGAAGAATCAGTGATACAACGGTAATAATTTATAGGGTTGTAGGGTATAGTTGTCATTCATAAATAAACTTACCATTTACAATCTTTCTTATTTATTTATTTTTTATTTATGTCATTTCATTATTCTCCTGATAAAGTCGACTCAACCGCCAATCTAGGAGCCTGTTTGGGAGTGATTTTGAGAATTGATTTTTTGACTATTAAGAGAAAAGTGGGGTCCACATGTGAGAGAAGACGTCAAATATGACGACTAGAATAGTAAAATAACGGTCAAAAAATCAATTTTTTGGATGAAAAAATCGCTTCCAAACAAGCCCGTTATGATTAGGCAATTGTCTGAAGCTATATTTGCAAGGCTGTTAAATATTAAAACTTTTGACAAAATTTTCAATCATTAATAATTAGAAACAATTAATAAATATAGTTTATAGATTAAAAATATTACTAAATAAAGTAAAAAATAAATAAATATTACAATCACAAATTTTTAGTAGCAAAATAAGAAAATTAGAAATAAACACACCGAAGGAAAATGGGGATAAAATTACAATTGGAAAGTAACTGATTTGTAACTAATATTATAAACAACAATAATTGATGATTGAATTGCTTCGGTGATTATTGAGTATATCATTGTGGATAATTTCATACAATCATGAGAAGGATTCATTCTTCTATCTTAATACTGTTGGCTATCATTGATAGAATTTTTTCAGGAATGATTTGCTCAATATATATATATATATATATATA